GTTGGCCCTCCTATCTAAAAGTAAAGCTGCGATGGAGGATGAAGATCTCAACCTGGAGGAATATGATCTCACGTCTGAGGATTATGCCATGATGGTGTCCAATCCCAAGAGGTTCATAAAGAAGAGATTCCCCAGCAACAAAAACCGAAGCTGGCAGGGGAGTTACAGCTCTGAAAAGTGATTAATGAACCGAAAGCTGAGGAGCACAAAAAGGAACCGAAGGTGGATGGCGATTCTGGAGTAAGCTGTTTCTACTGTGGTGGGAAGAATCACTATGCTAAGGACTGTGTCCTTAAGAAGATGGCTGAAAAAGATGATGGGAATGACGAGGAAGCCGTGTTGCAGAAAAGACTGGATGAGTTGAGAAAGAAGAAGTCTGCCGTTAACCCTTCTATTAATGCTCTTATTGTGCAGGGTTCGGTTAAAGGTGATGAATTCGGCAGCACGGAAGTTTGGTCACCGACTCAGAAGACGAGGAAGTGAGGCAGCCTACCCATGGAAAGGCCTACGTGACTAAGGAAGAAAGTATGGTGGAAAGTGCTTCATGGTAACTGACGTATCTCAAATGAGGGGATATAACACCGATGGAGGAAGTGATGGACCGAAGGCAAAGGAGGATATGTGCTTTACGGCCAAACCGCTCAGCCAGCAGTTCAATGAGCTCGATGAACTGATAAAGAAGGTACAATCTGTTTTTATTTCATGCAAAGTACCATCATCCTCTTATGAGAAAGAACTAAAAAACGTCAATACAAGAATTTCACATCTAGATAGTAGCTTAACTCAAACTCGGTCACAAATTCTAACCTAACTGATCAATTGAGCAGGGTGGCGTCGAAGAGTGAGGAGCGGAGAATGTGGATAGAGTTAAAGGAGTCAGACTTAGTCAAAGTTAAAGATGAAAACATTTATTTGCAAAGAGACAATTTAAAATTGTTAAAACAACGAAATGTTTTTTGTTTAATCGCTAAACGTCTGTATTCTAATATTACTCAGCTTCATTTGGATTGTGAAATAGGCCAAAAGATCCACCGCATGATCTTGCCCTTCCTAGAGTTTAAGGAAGATGAAATCGATGCCGAAGCCTATAATTGTGAGAGTGTGATATCGTCTGATGATGTCAATCCAACCTACATGTATGGACTGGACAAAATTGAGTCCTTCATTAAATCCAAAGACCACAAGAACATGCTTAAAAATCTTTTGGATGAAAATGACAGACTTAAACTGAGAACCGAAACCATGCAAAAATTTGACTCTTTAAACGCCAACGTAAGCTCAGAAAACAAAATTGATGTTGAAAATGCATCTGAGCTTAACGAGGACGATAACATGAGCGAAATTTCTGTAGAGGACACGGTTGACTGCTCAGAATTTATTAAAACCGAGCCTGAAAATCACAAGAATCTAATTTCTGAAAATTCAGTGGAGTTCGCTCGGTTGTCCCATCAAAAGTCCCCAAAATTAGTTGAGAAAGCTGTTGTGTATCAAAAGGTCAGGACCACTCCAAATCAAGTATACAAGGTAACAGGAGTAACCGAACATCAAACAGCTGAACTTGTAGCCATTGTAAACGAAGACAATGCTGATGGCTGTGATGAGTACTTCTGGGAAGCTCCAATTGATAATGCAGACGAAACCATTGGTTTATCTGAAAGAACTTCCTGGAAGAGCAAAGGAAGATACATACCTGAACCCTTGAATAAGCCGAACAACTTCGATGAGCCGAGCACCAGTGGTACAAAAGATATTCCTCAGAAGAATGATCACTCGGCAAAAGAAGACATTCCCTCGGCTCCTTCGGCTCAAAGTAAAACTCCTGCAGTTCAAAAGGAACCAGCCAAGGAGTCACCAAAAACGAAAGCAAATGTTCATCATCAACCTTCTCAGATGAGGAATAGGAAGATAGAAAGGAACAATAGATACAGGAAGAACCTTTCTGAAAGGAAACAATTCTGGCATTCCCAGAATGCATATTTCTCTCATCAAGACAAGAATCTAAAGTATGAAAAAATCCTGTAGGAAAGCTTGAAAGTCACAAAAACCAAAAGCCAAGGTTCGGTTCACAAGAAGATATCAACCGAAAGCCAAGGTTCGGTTCACAAGAAGATATCAACCGAAAGCCAAGGTTCGGTTCACAAGAAGATATCAACCGAAGGCAAAAGTTCGATTCTGAAAAGGACTTCAACCGAAACCAAAGGTTCGGTTCCAAAAACAGTTCCAACCGAACGCAAAGGTTCAGTTCTGAAGTCAAAAGAGAACAAAACTCGAAGGTCATTCCCTCCAATGATCAAAAGCAAAAGGGTCACCTAGAGTCTCAAGCCCGGAACTTCTCTCAATCCAAACCCTCTTGTCCAAATTCTTCTCATTCTTCTAATTCCTCTTCTCGGTCTCATAATTCTTCTACTCCACCGATTCGTCTCCATCTTACTCTAAAGCTGATTTCTCTTGTTTTCAAAAATCTCATTCGTCAACTGAGCAAAAGTGGAAGAAAAAGGTCAATGAATCCCAACCAGAATCCAAACCTAATTCACCCAACCTAACAAAATAAAAGTTTTACCATTAAAAGGAAAGATGCAACAACTCTTATAAAACGAACTTATCTTGTTGATGTCTCTCTTATTGTTCCCGTTCCCATGCAAAGCTCACGTGGACCCAAGAAATTTTGGGTTCCTAAATCTGTCTAATTTTTGCAGGTTATAAGTGACGAGCAGTTCGACGAAGAATGGTACATCGATAGTGGCTGCTCACGTCACATGACAGGGAGGAAAGAGGAGCTTAGGGAATACAGATCTCTTGCAAATGGTGGCAACGTCAAGTTTGGAAACAATTCTTTTGGCACCATAAAGGGATACGGGATGATAACAAATGGAGACTTTACTATAAGGAAGGTGGCTTATGTGGAAGGACTCCAACACAACCTCATTAGTGTATCTCAGCTTGTTGGAGGTACAGGTCTCAAAGTCTCATTCGATGATGAAGGTTCTGAAATCATAGAGAAAAAGTCAAAGAAAGTGATTCTCAAGTCAGAGCGAAAGGGTGAAATGTTTCCCTTAAACCTTAAACCCATCAAAGGAAACCCAGCTATATGCTTGTTGTCAAAAGCTCAATCCGACGAAAGATGGTTGTGGCACCGAAGATTATCTCATCTTAATTTTAAAGATATCAACCGTCTTTGTAACACCGTGATTTTCAAGACAAGATTTTTCATTTAAATAATCAATTTAATATTAAAAACACTTGTTTAAAATCTTATTCACATTCGAATTACAAAACGTAGTTTCATTTTCATTATAATAGAAGACCAGGATCCTCCAAAACACAACTCTTTCTTCGGTGTGTACAATCGAACCGTTGCCATCCCGCGTTACTGTAAGAACCTGAAACAACATAACATAAACAACGTAAGCACGAAGCTTAGTGAGTTCCCAATATACACCTTACGCACGTACGCCTTTCCAGGCCCTGACCTTCCGGTCCACTGCACAATGCCTTCAGGCCCATGAGATACTCGCCTTCCGGCCCATAAGATATTTGCCTTCCGGCCCATAAGATAATTGCCTTCCGGCCCATAAGATAATTGCCTTCCGGCCCATAAGATAATTGCCTTCCGGCCATAAATAATGCTTCCGGCCCATACACATATATAACACATAACAAATACTCTAACACATAAAGCACATATATCATATATCAACCTGCCTTCCGGCCCGTAACATACTCTAACACATAAAGCACATACATCATATATCATACCTGACCTTCTTCACATAATACTTTGCCTTCCGGCCCATATATAAACATGTATATCACGCGTAGCAGCTAACTTTCCATTTATAGCATATAAACATAACACATAACATACTTGACCTTCCGGTCACACAATCAAACCCTTCCGGGTACAGTATAGTGAGAAAACTCACCTCGCGGACACTGGAAGATAGCAACTCCTGAAATCCCTTGCACTGATCCTCCGAGCTACAAGCTCCCTGTAACATCATATATCCCTTGTTAATACTTCTATCTTCCACGTTAACTGACCCTAAGAAATCACACCGGTCAACTCTGGTCAACAGTCCATTGTCAGGTCGACTGGACTCGGCGAGTTCCCTGGCGACTCGGCGAGTCTGGTCGTCCTTCAATCCTCTAAGAGTCCCCTTCTACTCGTCGAGTATCCTCTTGACTCGACGAGTCACTCCTGGAAGAATCGCGGGGCCACCCCGACTCCACTCGCCGAGTCTGAAGAACAACTCGGGAGTCCCAGTGAATCTTCAAGCTACTCGCCGAGTCTGATCATCCGACTCGGCGAGTCCACGCCATGCGTCGATCAAACTGCTTCCTGAGATACATATTTTCCCGAATATACCAACATAGGACCTTCTGGACCTCTAAGGGTACTAATACAGGGTTATAAACGTTGGATAACAACACAACAATCCATCTATCTCCAAATGGTTTCACAAACCCTAAATCCATGCACACATTCACATAACAGAAAATAATCCGAAAGGTTACCTGAATCATGCACTCTCAGTGTCCCCAAGCCTCAAACGTGATTCCCTTGCTTGTCCCATTAGCCAAAACCTTCTCCTTCTTGGACAATAACTTCCTCAAATCACCAATGATCTTC